AGAAACCAGAAGCCTTGAAATCAGTACGCCGTTCGAGTGTGACGACATCGAAGTTAAGAGTGACTGGCCTGGCGTAGGGGGTATACGCTGGGGGACGATCCATGTTACGTCCCTGAACAACATTGCCTTCACAATCAGCGACCAAGAGGGCAGTGCACTCGTTATTGTCTTCGGCAGTAGTGCTTGATGAATCAGGATATTCGATGTGCTCCATCTCAATTGCATACAACCAAGCCGAGAGATAAGGATAGCTCACGTAATGGCCTTGAGTACCGAACTCTTCCGATATGCCCCTGAGCTCACGAGCCTGCGTAGGAAAGAACTTATCAGCAGCATCAGCCAGAGTATCATAGTCTTCGTCTTGAAGCTTCTCCTTGCCGAATACGGTAGCATTGAATTCGCGGAATAGGGGCTCAAATGTATCCTCGTAAGCATACTCCTTGAGGACAGCTCTCACTGCTGGTTTGAAGTGCTCCTCGGGGGGTTCAGACATATCAATGGTTACCGTGGGAGGTTCCGGCGGTAATTGACCATCTCCCTCAGCAGCAGATATAGCGGACATGACCCCACGAGGTGAACTGCCCAACAAGAATAGATATAAGGCTGCGATGAAGGTGGAAGTCGATCTCGTGACGAAGGTCATTAGAGAAAGGTATCGATGAAACTAAATAAATAACGGATGATCCTCAAGTTCCGATTGTGAATCTGCATACTAAAAGTCTGAGACACATAGTCTTTGCTATATACCGGACCTGGCAGCAGCTAAAATAACAGCTTGTAAGGGACAAACGTTTCACAGTTCTGTGTGTCTAGTGCTCCTCCTATGATGGTGGGCATGCAACCCACGGAGCTCTGGATCTAATCGCAGCGGGGGCACTTTCCGTGTTGTTTGCCTTCAACTCTTCTCGATTCAATCGAGTCGATTGCCCTATTGAGTTTTCATCTGGAAGGCGAGCCACTATTCGTCATAGTCTAATGAAATTAAAGCCGCCATCGGAGTTGATGATGCTGCTCATCAGAGAGTCGGATGCCTCGACCGGGGATGCCTACACCACGTACAATCGTTCGAGTGCATCACGGCCGGGGCCCCAGCAACACGTTCGGTCCTATTCCGACTCGACTTGGATCGAAGTCTCTTCCTATCATTGCTAAAGTCGGACCGGGGCGCCGTTTCTGGCATGCTGGACTATGGTATAAAGTCATCTATTCCTGGTCGTGAGAATCTCCTTAGCGCATCGGGGACGGTGTCCAATAATTGCAGAGGAATCGATCTTCAATTCCTCTCAGATTGCACATACTAGCCGACTACTACGTATTCACGAAGGAGTACAGCGAAACGATCGATTGTGTGGATATCTTCATTGAATTCTGTGCAAGCTTTTCCTCGGTTGATGGGTGCTCAGAAGATAATGAGTTTTCTCGACAGGCTCAGATCAGTTGGTCTCTTTGCTTCCGTGAATAGTAGTAGATGTATCCAACGCTATGTGGTTCGTTAGTGGCGTCATCAGTTTCGTGCATCTTAACACTTCACTCTGGACACTGTGAGAAAGCGATGTCTTCTCATGATCGCCACCCTGGCCCTATAGAAGGACGATCACTGAGATTAGATTGTTGACAACAACTTGTTGTTCTCAACGGTCCCTTGTCGGACCCATCGGTCTCTCTCGTGAGGTTAATTACCTACACCGGGGTAGGTTGTACATTCGCGACATTCGCTATGCTGACTATCAGCTCCAGCCGAGAGGCTTTCCGCTGTGGGTGCTCGAGATCGAAACAGACTGAAGGCTCCCTAGTAGGGAGTCATTTATTTTAACATCTTATCTCGGGACGAGAGCCTCCTAGGAGTTCACGTATCTCCAGTTCATCCTGTCGAACTCCGAATCGACTGCCACTCCCGAACTGAAACTCAAGGACGATTATATGATATAATTTATACGGCGCGTTGTTATCACGTCGCTGTATTTACCGAAGTAGTGCGCTCCTTCCACGAGCACCTGGTTGCTCTTACTCGCGGAGCGAGCGGAGATATATGCTTCGATCCGCGTCATTCCGACCATGCATGTGTACGAACTGATGGTAGCATTCAGTCATCCATGCCTGCTTATTTTTGTCATAACAGGTGCATCCTGCAATGGTCACGAACAGTCATGAACAGCGTTGTGTTAATCGCCACGGTTAATGAATCCAACCAGTGAGAGATTCGGGCATACACCACAATTTTGCGATACTCACTGGTGATCACAAACTTCAAAGCGCAGGAGATGTGTTCTGCAAGATATTTCCTCAACAAATCTAAAGTTTCCCACACAATGTACCATAATCATCATTGTCCCATGTATTAAGAACTCGGCAAAGGATAATTGATCGAAAAAGTACTGCCTATTAGCAGCACTTGAGTAGATGTACTCCTCTAATAGGAGTGAGTATGAATCCAGTAGTATTTATGGAGTGCAGAACACCCATGAGTATATCTGAAGGCATGGACGACAAGAGTCGTCTTGAGAAATGGCGGACACAATTATATCACGAATGGCATCATATATCACTGATGGTTCTTGTTCCAAGCATCATCAGCATCATAACGAATATAGGTGGAGAAGTCACCATATGTGGGATCCATAATGGAGGTATAAATAGTGTGATTCGTAGAGACTCCGCTTAAAAAGGAGCAATCCATGACAACATCCCAGGTAGACTTTATATCATTAGTCTTACCATGCTCCTTCACACAGTTCTCAGCAACAGTACGTCTAGGATCAGAAATCGGATCGGCCTCCCAGCGATCGTAGTTGGTCTGCACCAAATACCAATTATCGGCCTCGCTGTAATCACCAGTCTGATTGTTCAAATATGCAGGCTCGTGTACCTCACCGTTCTGGTCAATGGCCAACCATCTTCATCACGAGTAAGA